CTTTTTCCATTACTGTAGAAAATGAAAATATCTGAAAAAAACATGATATTAAATATTTTTTCTTTGCAGGTTCAGTCGCTCCATTCCTCCACCTTCATGAGAAGGGCGTATTTGAAGGCAGTACAAAGAATGAAAGTGCATCCCCGCAAAGAAGACTGCCACATGTGCGCACGCGCTGCAAAGGCACCTCCTCTGCCTATCGCTCGCTCCTTCTCCCTTAATACCTCGCTGAGAATGACACTGTTGTTAGGGACCCTGTCGCAAAAACGACAACCGTGAAGGAAAAGCCCTGGGCAAATGAAGTTGTTCTTCAGGTTGTAGGAGTTACGAAATGCGTTTACTACAATGCAGCTTCTGTCAACTGGTCATGATCATATAACACCTTCGAATCGATTCTGCAACTTCGAGTGAGGTCGGATGCATGGCCTAGACAAAATTCGATGATGACGATTGCCCCTTTTCCTATTGCTTATGTTGGGAGGATGTTTTCTAGACCCATTTCAAGCGTTGCCAACAATTACACTTGCAATGGTGAAGAGGGAGCGGATTTTCAGGTGGCCGGATCCGTCCTCGATACATACTCGACGCAGATATCTTCTCAACTAGGAAATGTAGAAGAAAGCTAAGAAGACCATCAGAAAGCGCAAACCTTCCGCTTTCCAAAACTATCTTCCCTTTTTCAGGATCTTACGAAGAGAGATATTGCTCTTGAAGTGGCAAAAACTCGCGTGAAAATTTCAGCGTCCTCGACGTTTACTCGACGAAATTTGAGAGACCCTATCTTTCTGCATGGAAGGCTTTCAGAGCAATTTCAATACTTCTTGGAAACGCGAAATCCAGCTCTATCTAACCCTACCTCAAACTGCTTCAAAGGTTATGAAATGGAGGAATGCAACCTTTTCATCGAGGGTGTAGATTTCGGACGGTTTTTTTTTGGGATTTCAGCAAATCTGACCCAGTGACAATCGCGCCGCAGCTGCCGTTGAATCGGCCTTTGATACACTCGGCTGTTTTGATATACTCAAGCAGGAATTAAGATTAAATCGCAACCCCGTGCCTTCAGGATTTCTGTGCATTTCTGAACGAACCTGACTTTGAGGTCACACAAAGTTAATGCCTCTTTCCTCGAGTCGATATTTCAGTAAATACACAAAAGTGTGCAGCGATGAAAGACAGTGCATAGATGACAAGATGAGGCGTCCATAACATTATTTTGCAGAATTTTTTGATTTTTTTGCAGGATTTATTTTTAATTAATTGAATTAATTTGCTCTGTTTTAGGGGGTCGTGCCAGGATCTCGATTTCGGGGGGGGGGTCGTACCTCTGCGACCACGTACTCGACACGATTTTCACCCTGGTCGAGACAGGGCTGCACCAGTCTTGTGCTGAAATGGTAGGACACTTCAGTAGTGATTGATCGATGATGCACAAACGCTTTAACGAAGTTGATTGCACAAGAAATTCTAATAAATGTGCTCATCTGCTACTCACGTGTGCTCAAAAAGGGTGCGTTTTGACCCATGTGGCAAAAAAGACTCCGGGAAAAATTGTCCAGTTGAGCTGGTAAGTTTTAACTTTCCACCAACAGTGCAGACCCTACTCTAACTAACTGTATACTTCTTTTGTCCAGGCCTAACTTTTTAGCAAGTGAGAGGGATGATTTGTCAGATGATGTCAAAACCGACCTACCTCTCTTTTTCGACTCAAAAATCCGCGCTCCATTCGTATGATGATTTCACGCTAAACTTTAGATGAGGAAATTCTAATGAGTCTTCGATTTATTAGGTTGTAGGAAAGTATGCGGTTTTTCGAAGCACGCCTTTTTTTACCTGTACAATGCCTTCCAGCAATTTGACTTGTGCATATATGAGGAGGACACGTCTGTGCAAGTTACCTGTCATCATGAGCTGTAAGCTCGAGCATAGATCATTTCTGCAAAATGGAGCTTTCGCAACAGTACGTTCGTGGTCTTCTGCTGTACGACTTCAAATTTGGCGAATCAGCAGCCTCATCCAGCATCAACG